ACAGCAAGTCTCGTCAGGATGAAGCTTTCTCTTTCCTTCGCGCCGGACGCGGAAGATGAGCTCCATAATTCTGCCCTCAGGAGGGTGGCACATACCATTGGGATTATCTGCTGCTATTAGGGATATCCCTTAAGATGTCCTTTGCTGCTCATCACCGTGACATTCGCTCTCCCTGTACCTGCTGGGGTGGTCCTTATACAGGTGCTGTTGATTTACGTTAGGCGATGTGCTGTAGCACAGGAAATCTTCCAACACACTTTCGCATGTATTGTATAGTATGTGTTTTATTATCACAATTCAAGGTTTCTTCAGAATTTCCTGTTCAGACTTTGAAAGCTAAAGCATACGAATAAGTTCTGTAAATTTTAGCTAACTCCCTATAAACATTTAGGTGTTGTACTCACCTGTTATTTAAAGTACCAAGGTTTATTTATTCCAGTCTAACCTTTTATTTAGAGTGTTATCTCAGTACCACGTAAGAAGAGCGTTCGTAAAGGATGCGCTCATTTATAATTAAAAGTGCAAATAGTATGCGCAGGAATCCATTGTAATAATGGTAGTATTTCATAAACAGATTTGGTAGAATTGACTGTATATCCTGGCAACCGAAAAATTTATTTCCACCATTATATGGTCTTTCCACTGACGTTAACATGGACTGACAATTCGTTCGTTTTATATTGTTACGCTGTTGTATTCGATAACCGTTTTCCAGTACATTAGCCAGTTTGAATAATTTACTCGGCTCTGCTGTAAGCATTGTTAGCATGACCTCTTGTTTGCTGTGAAAACACTGAAGATTTAGCAAGGACAAAGGCACAATTCTTGCCTTAGTTCCTCGTCGAGCGAGTCTTTGTTCGGCCTAGAAAGTCTCGTGGTTAACGCAATTCTTCGCCGAGTGATACAGTTAGCGGGCTTTTATCCAGTCAAATGAGCTTCCTAATGAACTGTTCGGAGAATAATAAATGCACTTTACTGTGTCGACGTCCGTTGGTTAAGGAGATGTGCTCTAGCCGCTGATGGAAACCTGATGGGCTCCTTTGGTGATGCTCTTCGCTTGGTGATTCGCTTCCGCGAATTTCTTTGTAGAAAGTCGCTGCAAACAAACTATGTGTGCCTGTTTCCTTGATCAACTTGTCAGCAACAAATGCTTGACAATAAATTCAACTTTAGTAAGGTGCATAAAAAAGCATTATTGATTGACGATTGTAAGCTCGGGAATTTTCTTTACCATTTTGACTAACGGGATTTGCCATTTTGATAAGCATTAACTAAATTAAACTGTTTAATTTTCTACGCTGTTGTTATGCAGCATTCATTAGAGGCGAATTTAATTATTGCCATGGTGCGAAAATTCCCTTGAAAAGTTGTGTTAGCAAAGAAACCATAGTATTTTGACGAAGTGTGCGAGTTTAACTATCCATATAATTTTAGGATCAGCTGATCGTTTTGCTGTCTTCATTGTGTTTATTTAAATGAGCCCCATCTGAATTTGCGTTTTTCTCGAATTCGACGGTATGAGCATATTTTGCAACATTATCGTAATAAAATGGCCTTGTGAGTTATTCCTGAACCCTACAAGGCCAGGTATCCTTTGCTCTTCAGTCGGCAGTAAACAGAAAGCACTCGATCATTTCGAGCGGCTCGATATTCATTCTCCACCGCCTCATATCGTCCCTGGCGCCGGCTTTTATTCGCTTTGCGCCTGACAAACAAGACCTTCTTTGGCCAGCTCCTGCCATATGTGCTCGGCCGCTGATGCTCTTCAAAGATTGCCTCCAATGACCGCCGTTGGCAAGTTTGTGACCTAAACTGCGCACGTCCATCAATGATCGGTGACCCAGCGTTGATCGATCGGTTGTGGGTCATCAGTGACCCAGCTGTACCAGAACCGCGACTGACACAAAGGCTACTCATCTTCCAACTTGAGTGATGGATCCACAAATTCATTGGGATACTGGCACTTCTGTTTGACTGGCCGGAATTCGGGCCTTATTTCGTGCTATTGACCTACTAATGCACTCGTGTGGTATGGAATTGTCGCAGAAATGGGTACTCATAAAAGCTGAAGGTCTTCCATTTGTGTTGTATTTTTGGCTTTAAGTCTTGGTCATCTCCCTTTCTTTAAGCTCTTTTCATGAATAGATCGGGTTTTTCATTTTGCTACTAGTCATATTCCCCTTGAGACTACATCGTTGTAAATAAGAACTTGTCCAAGAAGTAATTCATTGATAAGGACTTAAATTTCGATGGTCAGTTCCTATATCCTTCTCTGTCTTCTCAATTGTCTGATTATCCAATTGGTAGAATGCAATGTATGTTTCTTGGAAAGTGCATCACCAGGACATGCACGATGCTTTAACTCCTGCCGCTCGTTTCAAAACGCATCAAATTTCGCACTTCCCTCACTCGCACACCATGCCTCATAGAACGCCCGATAGTCCCTATACTCGGCTTCTGTGTGCGCCTTCCACTGGTCGACGGTATTTTTGCGTCGTCCGCTTTCAGATCAGCGGCCAATCCTTAGGTGATACACAAGAACTTTTAACACGATTGCATTCCCCGTGCTCTTGCTGGCAACATGGAGCGCTGTCATATTTTCGTGGCGCTTTACAGCTCCAGCTTTGCTCCCAGTGAAAAAAAAGCTGAGCGACTTGATGTTCGATGGAGCTCACATCTCCATGAGCTAAACTTTAGCCGGGGATACTGGTGCACGAGTGAAAACATTTGCATCGAACGTGCTGGCTTTCGCTTCTTTGTGCAGTTTACTTCTGAAGAAATAAATTGCTATTCAGTTTTGTGTTTGACGTGTTTCTTCAGTACGATTTTCTACGAGCTTTATTGCCGTTGATCGCAATTGCTTGCAGCTTTGGTATTTTTCAGAATTTATTGGATGCGAGAGAAGCACCGTGCATTGTTCTTCCGCGTTACCTTATAATTTTTAAAAGAAGCCACCAACAGCAGCGTCAAGAGTTAAAGCTATACCGATCAAGTCCCACTATCCAACAATGTACCTAACCCAATCCATATGAACCACTGTTTTAGAACGAATTTTTGCAGTTGCTTCCCTGATACATACGGCAAGGAACACTTGATAAACATTGTTGTCGCTGCCGACTTGGCTGTGAACCCCACGAGACCGTTTTCTGTCGAGGACGGCGGCTCTGCACAGAAGTAAAATTTGTATTTAGCTTCTGGCTGAAACGCAAAACTCGGCCTTTCCATGTGCATGTAGTGTACGGTATGGAAATGCGTTAAACTGAGCCATGCCTAGTTTGAAGCCAACAGAGCGGCTCGTATTTTTGGTTAAATACTTGTGCTGAAATTTAATCCATATTTTTCCGAAAAATTCTCTCTTTGATGCTGTGGTCGAGAATACTCCTAAGACGTGATGTTCCCTTGTTAATATCTTCAATACCTTCAGCAAATCTCAGCTCGGAAGCACGTGTTCACTCCAGTACTACATTCGTACGTAGTAAGAGAGACTATGAAGGCATGATTTTTTTTAACAAAAATTATTGTAATAAGTCATCCATTTGTAAATTTGAAATTAATTTTTAAGAATGTTTAGTCTTTAAAGTATGAACATTTTTAACACCTATGATGCGTTTTAATTGGTATGCATAAGTGTATTTGCGAAAAAGACCAATATTACGACTACAGAATTGCTGAGTGAACTTATTTCTTTCATGCTACATAACTTGTTGGTGAACGTAGCGTTCTGCACGTGTCAGGTGCGTATGATACACGCGGCGCGGCCTGTTCATTGTCTGTAAGTACACAGAATATTCCATCAGATCCAGCTTTGCATAACCAGATGCTGCTGGGCACAGAAGCATTTGTATGCTCGTGCGATCAAGGAAGCCTGCTTGCGTTGTCTCGGGGAAACTGCCGCATTTTTGGTGCTACCATGTATCTCTGATATGACTACGGTGCCGCAAGTCCTTTTTGTCTTATGCTAAACCTGACCCTTGAAGTCGGCTGGCGAGCGCGTACGACAATAAACGATGCGCTCCTTTGAATCCTATGGGAAATCAATTTTTGCATTCAACCATACTGATAGATGTCCTGAAATTGCTTGGCCATGTCAGTACCGTGTTTACCATTCAACAGATTATCATAAGCGCGGGGAACTTAACGAGCCTTGAGCCGCTTCACTCTACGCATTCCCATCGCCAATCTTCGAATTCCCCAACGTGTTCGACCGATTCCTGAAACGAAGATTCGGTGCGGCAAAGAAGTTGTTGTTTCCGCTTATGAATGCATTGGAGTAACATATCACTATTGAGGTTGATCGTTATGTGTACACTGGATGACGTATATTTCTTCAGATTTCTTTTTTCTTTTCTTACTCACATGTTTTAATGTTTCTATCGTGCTCTTACTAATGGTACGAAGACCAACTACATAAGTGGTGTGTTACTTCAAGCACTTCGATTTGTAACCCTCGCTTTATTTTTCATGCAGTTTGTTTATACGAACTTCCTATGCGCTATCCTCGTATACTCCTTACCAGAGACCAGCGTCTAGTGAACGATTCCGAGCCCCCCTTCTGCTATGGTGATATGATCTGCGTGTAACGTGGTAACTGTGTCACTGCTGCACCTCAATTTATTGCAAGGGAAATATTCCACGCTTGCCACCCTAATAAGGAAATGAAAAGGAAATTGACACGAGTGACCGTCGTTGAATTTTCGATGAGCCTTGTCGTACTTTGCTCCTCTTGACAGCTGCTCGTTTGTACGAGACACGAATGCTTGCTTTTTCGTCAGGAAAGTCAATTTATTCAAAATTGATTTATCTGAATTAAGCTTTTGGCTAACCAATATTATTTATTATATTTATTTTTGAAACATCGACTCGTAATCGGATAATTCAAGTGCTCCAACGTCGTTCATTTCGTTTTTACGTATTGTTTCGTATGTTTAATCACTTTTCAGGCCATTTCTAGCAATCATAGCTATGCATTTCTGATGGAAATTTTCTTTTTTACAGGATGCTGATGCGTGGGACGGCGTAGCATCATGTCTCACGAAGAGCTCTGGCTTGGAACCTCACCAACTCTTCAGCCAGAAGCGCAGCAAGAAGACGTTCCTTCAGAAGCAGCTTTGCTTCCAGCTCCTCAAATATCAGCTCGACATAACTGTTACCAGCAACCTTGTCGCTCTATAGTAAGGCACTCGATTAAAAGGTGGTGCCGAAAGGAGCCTTTTAGTTACTCCCAGCATGACGCGAGGTTCGTGGACCAGTCCGGCACGTACGTCACAGAAACACGTGGTTCATCTCAGATGAATGCATCTGTTACGAGAGCCTCTTCGTTGGAAGCATCAATGGCACCGCCAGATGTATTGGCATCAGCATGTGGGGCTCATACGTTAACAAACACCGACAACACCTTCACATCTGCCCAACAGATTTCCTTGCTGCTGGACGAGGTAGCTGCTTGTGATAGAGCATCTGTCCGTGTCGCTGATGAAACGCTTAGTTTTGCGGGGTCGTCAGCCGCGCATTGCGATAAGGGATTCTCTTGTTACAACTCCGGGTGCTCCAGAGACTGCGATTCACCTGTAACCGACAGAGATGAACTTTCCTGCCTTCACAAGATAGGCCAAACTCAATCTGGTTTTTGTGAGCCAGTTTATGTAATGCATGAATCTTGTTCACAATCTTGCTGCTCATCGGTGAGCACCAGTCATGCTGCTCATCGGCGAGCACCCAAGTGTCAATTGTTGTCCAGTGACAATCACAGTGAAAGTTCCCTAGCTGCGCAGTGTCTTCTCCGAAGTGCAGCTGCCGAAACTTCTAAGTGCAGCTACTCCCAGAGTGCTTGTGATAGGAAGAGCCAGGGTTTGCAATTACCATTATGGTTGTGTGTTATGAGGCGATATTCTGAATGGAGCTTCAATTCTTTGTGTTCGGTGACAAAAAGTGTTCCAAATAGAACCCAGCGTCCTGTGAAATACCAGAGAAAGCTCACTGAAATGCGATGTGGTTGGGGGCCTTCGACGCTGCACAGTTTATGGATCATCTTGATGCTTCTGGTGACCTCATCAGCCGTTCTCGCAGGTACGTTCATTACGAATTCAAATGTTTGTATTGCGAGGGTCCATCGTCACCTGGCAATTCCTCAATCGTTGTCAAATATTATATGTGATGTTCTTTTTAGTGCAACAGACTTCGCTTGTCTTGAACTTTTATACTATTTTGAAAACAAGCGATTTGTCAATTTGTTTATGGTGGGTATTATATTATATTATATATTATATTATATTATTATATTTTATTATTATTATATATTATATTTTTATTGTTATTCTACGAAGCAGTTATCGTGGCGTCTGGTTTAAACGAACTTCGAGGGCACGTTACACAAAAGTTTAATAGCAAGCAAACATTTAATGAAATAATAATAAATGAAATATCGAGGAAAAATAAATAATAATAATAATAAATAAGTATAAATATTTTATCTTTACTATTAATCTACAAGAAATTTTTCTTTATAGTTTTCTAACATAGATGGATTTTGATTGTTTTGATGATGATGTCTAAGATTTTTTCAAATTATTGAAGCGGTGCTAACTGCTACTAAATAGAACGAAATTTTCGAACTTAGAATCAATAAAGATATCCTCCAGGAATCTTGATGAATTTACTTGTATTCTATTTGTGTCTGGCTGTCTGCATGCTCTTGCTCGTGGAATGGGCCACTTTTCTTAGAACCTGCGTTTAGCAGTTGACATGAGCAGAGCGTAATTTAAAGTTTTGGACACCGTCCTTAATCTACTTGCTATCTCGAGAACGATACATACTCTCTCATATTTGCAGTACATAGATAGGTAGATATGATTCCATGCGTGAAACTCCTACATTGATGGCTGTTCAAACGTGACTTGGTCAGAGATGAGAGAAAATAGTTGGCGGACTTCTCAATATTAAGAATACACGAGGAGACCTTTTATTTGCCGAAATTTCCATTGTTATCGATGCAGTAATGTTTGCACATGTCATTCTACTGGTAGTGATTGAAATCGATTCTAAATCATATTTCGTTACCATATTTTTTTTATCAGCAAACAAAATACAAATGGCTTAGAATTTTGACAGTCAAAACTTTTCTGGCCAAAAGTTCTTTTGTTGAATAAATTTTCGTCTATTGCCTCTAAACATTTATCTGAATCTCAATGCTAAAAACTTCATAAATTTGATGTGCGTTATATCAATGCACAGAGTGCGCTCTGTCTCGCAGCGCTAGTCCTCGAGCGTAAGTACTTTTCCACGATCTTCTTTGAATGCCATTAGACCGAAGCCGGAGATGCACTCGGAGTGTCGAGGTCTAAATTGATGTCGTTGCGCTGCTATGGCTACGGATAACGAAGCTGCAAATATTCACTGTAAACATTTTATTGCTTGTTGCGGAGGTCGTTTTCGTCTTTGACTCACCTTCTTAATGCAGGTCATATTTTTGCAGTCGCAGCTGCCCTAAATGGGGACGGTATTAAGAGCTTTTTCCGTGTTGTTGCGTTACAAGTTTTATTCACTAAACTCAATCGAGCAAAAGTGGCCGTGTTGACGAAGTTCGTCAAAAAAGGTACGGTAACTTGGCAGTAGAGTCACAACGAGTTGTATTACTGCGCAAACAAAGTAAAGTAAGCCATGGTTTTCATTTATTACTCAATCTACTAGTTCTGCCCTCATTTTGAATCATTTACAGTTCAAATTGTGCTGCAATTTCTGGTTTGCAATCAAACCTACACAAATTTGAATGTATTACTGATAGCATGATTGTTCAAAACAATGATATTCAGGTCCATAAATGCCGCTTATTTTTTAACTATATCAATAGCGCTGTGCCTAATTTCACATAGTTTTAGAATATTTTTTGTGGCATTCTGTATCGCTGGCACCCTGCGATCATTCGTGCGGCGACGAGTCCCGTAAAGGCCGCACTAACTAGTTTTGAAAAGCAACTTCTTGCAGGTGGATGATCGTTCGTGAGATATTGATGAATTATTTGTCGATTTGTTACATGATGCTTATCTATAAGACGATAGCTATATATCGCTGTCTCTCCGCTCCTCAATGTGCGATAATGCATTTGGTATGTGTACGTTGTTTTAATCGTTTCATTAGGTTCTCACCGTCACTTTATATATGCTGCAAACGCAGTAAATTATTCGTTTGACAGCGAGCTACTCTTAATAATCAGAAATTATTGATCAATTGTCAACAACTATTTTTTATGAAGTATAAAATTATTCCTACGCAACATTTTTTGCAACCATAGTTCAGTGTAAGTGCCAGTAATATTGCTCATGAAAATCGGAAGATGACGATCATTCCCGTTTGTCGCCGTACTAATTTTAGGCTTTTTAGAATAAATCGGAGCGAGACTTCACCAAACATTTCTTCTAAACGACGTTCTTTCTCTTTCAGTCGATAAATTGGCTTGCGGGCGCGGCCTAGCGTCTTCGGTTATCTTGTGTAAAGACGATAGCTGGGCCCACTTTTGTGTGTAGTATAGCGTTTAATTACTGTCCGAACAAACATCCGCTGATAAGGAGCCACAATAAACTTGGGGCAGCACCTTGGCCGTGCGATATCGTCACAACTTCTTCGCGACGTAAATGAGAGACACATTAAATTTGGATCTGCCATTAAGCATCCGTCTGCAAGTGCTTAATTTGCTCTTAAGTTGCTGGTAACGACCGAGAACAACGCCATTACTTGGTGGGAGGCGACCTGTTCTTTTTACCCCATTGCAACACCTCTTCATTCACGCTGTGTGATGCTTCGTGATTACTTGGAGCCAAGTCATTGTTTTTTTTAATATTAAATTTCTAATTGTATTTGCAGGTACTGTGTTGATTACATTCATGTGTATAGATCGCTATCAATGAGACGGTTAAACGTTTGTTGAATTAACTGTAATATTTATGTATTTTCAGATGCACCAATTTTTTGGGTTGTACCAAATTTACTCGAAGCCCTCAGTATTGTACTTGCCATGATGCTCCTAGAGTCGAATTTCTTCTTAAGTCCACAGGCAAAAATCGCATATTTTTCAGCTCGCCTTCGTCTCTTCTCCTTTTACTTGTTCCATGCGTCAAGTGATCCTTCCTCTTCAAAACGAATTAACCAGAGAGTTAAATGAAGTACAGTGTTTTACAGAGCGCTTCTATGGACCCTGCGATGAATAAAACATACGGCCTCTTGCGGATGCCTCTTTGCAGAGCCTATCTTCATTAGCACATCCGCTGCTCATGGCTTTCTACTATCATCTTTTATGTAGCGAGCCCGTTATAATACCTGTCTCTGTTGATGCAATCAGTTATGCACAAAACTTGTGCATTATCCTTTTTGCAATTGAGCACCTGTTGAATTTTTCAAAAAAGTATCCTCCTGCGTTGAGTATAAACTCATTTAGCAACCATCTCTGTTCATTATCACGGCCACGAGTCTTCTGTTAATAGTTTTACCCTCTAGAAAATTGTATGCAACAATTCAGGTTGAAACGTTGAGTTAATCTCAACTGACTATAGATTACACTTTGCACATTTAATTGATAAGATTGTTAGTGGACTGGTTGACCTCACAGCTGCATATGCATGCTCAGCTTGCTACACTACACAATTCCCGTTGCTGAAGCTGCATTCGTATTTTTGGGATGAGACGACGCTCGTGTTGTTGAGGCCTCTCTGACTCTGGCCATGCAGTTACAGGCAGAAGCGGAGTTCGGGTTAAACATCTTCTAAAAGACCTGCAATTATTAAGCGTTAGTGAAGAGTTTATGACACCAAACTGCTGACTTCCACCGAGTGCTCTTGCTCCCATGAAAAGAACATCTACTTAAAACCTCTAATGGTTCAAAGAACTCGTAGTTATCCAAGAATGAAGGAGCAGGAATCGCCGTATCTTTGCCCATTAAACTGGAATGAGCAGTGGTATGCTCCAGTTTTTCTTTAAAATTGATGCTCTTTCATATTTTTCTTCCTATTGACTCGTTTAATTTTCCTTATTTGCACGTGTCAAGGTAATAATCCCCGTGCACTGCATTCGTTAGTGTATTCAGTATAGAGTGTTGGCAGTCTAGATTTTTTCAGAACGATTTAGTAATTTAAATTTCACCCGTATGTAAATTTTTTTCTTTTGCCACGAACGTTTTCTGATGAAGTGTTCTTTTCATTTTAATGATTCATTTTCTCCTTCTCCTGGATGTCGTGTCTTCACATCATTAAATGAAGTATAAATTTGTAATTTACGTTTGCGAAAAAAGGCAAGTTAACGTAATTGATGCAAATAATTGTTGCGGTCGCCGGCAGTTAGATAATCTAGTACTACCTATAATTATGCTAGGCTCGCAGATATAAACAAAGAATAAATCTAATGATAATTTTTTTTTAAATTACATGTAGGACGCACGTATCATAATTTTCATTTCCGTAAACGTTTCCTTGCAAAAAAAATTCTTCACACCCGCGGCTCGTCGGAATCGAACGAACATGACTAGATTTCAGTTGTTCTTCTAAGATTTAGTTTGTTAGCTAAGTCGGTACTTCTTCTTGTTATTCCCGAACCTAGACCTAGGATTGTGTTTCAAAAATTTTTACGAGAACTGCGTTAATCACGACGTAATGTGTGCAAACAAGTCTGCCAAAAAGTAACAAACACAAAAAAAAAAGTTTCTAGAGTCCTTCACCATGAATGTTCGCTTGGATGAACATTGAATTCATCTACGACCCACAGGCTTCTTCGTCAAGCTCGTTCACTGTAACTGTTACTGCTTTGTGAGGTGGGAGGCCCCAGGCTTATATTTCGAGGTCTCGACATTTGGGTCACTTATTTATTTTTGAGCGAATCTTTTGAGCAAAGTATCGACATCTCAAATTATTTCGTCATTTCAGTTGTGATTTTCATTCAAGTTCATTCCGTCTTGTAATCCGCAATTAGTTATTTTATTCTGCGAGTGTAGCTCAAAGCTGTGCATAATGTCTTGCAATTAAACAGTGTGCATATTTTTGGCGATTTTCGCGTAAATCAATTCTTATTTTTCTCTAAATTCGCTT